TAGCTTCACATTGGTTCCCTATGGCTTCTGATGCTTTGAGTGGGTTTCATACTGTGGAAGCTGGAAAAGGCATTTTTGAATAATACTACAGTTATATATCTGCAAACATGAATATTATTTTCAGAAATTCTTTAGGTTCCAGGGCAAGAAACTAAGCCTGGTGGTTGAGGTATTACTTGTGAATAATCATTCCATTATTTGAGAAGACAAAGGGAGTGCTAAGAAATTTGTATCATTTTGTTTAACGCTGGAGGTAGAAACTAAATCCTTTCCCAATAAGTGAACTCTAGTTCTAAGTTAAATAGAAGAGGGAAAAATATAAGATACAATCATGAATTACCAAGATGATCAAGAATTTTAGAGGAAAAAATATATATATCTAGGAAGACACCAAAAAAAAAAAAAAAAAGCAAGTGTATAATCATTTCAAGAAATACATTTAATAGATTCTTTTTGTTTTAGACAATTACTCCTCTCTCCTTCCCTCCTTTTCTCTCTCTCCTCTCTCTGTTTCTCTCTATCTCTCTGTCTCTCTATCCCTTTATCCAGCTAGCTGATCATCCATCAATTTATATATATGTTTATATAATAACCTAAGGTCATTTCAAATGTACTGATATATATTTTATCCACTTAGTCATTGTCAATAACTAATTCTAATACAATCCCTTGTGCCCTATTCATTTCTCCATCCTTCCACCTACCTATTGTAGTTTGTTAGTGGAAAACTGTGATAGCTTTTAAAAAGGAAATCCTGTCCTTTCCATTTTATGCCCTACATATCATAATGTTTTATTTTGACTTAAAAAGTTCTTTTGGATTTTTTGTAGGCTTCTCAACCTGCTCCCCCACAAAGCTTTTAAATTCACACAGCTAAGCTTTTATACACATCTATGCTCTAAGCAGAAGAAATACACTCAATGGTTTTAAGCTGATTTTAAAACACTAGCACTAGAATGAATATCTCAGTTTTGCAAATTACTAATATATTTTTACTCATCAATAAATAAGGATAACAGTAATAACACTTGCCTCAGAGGGTCCTTGTGTCTATCACAGAGTTAACATTAAATAAATTCTATTGTTATTGTTATTAACAGAGAAATTGAAGTGACTGAAGAGTTTTACAATACAGTATTCTTCCCTTGTAACTTTTACCAAGTGTTTTTCAGCTGAATTGGATTTACAAAGCTAATTAGGATACAAAGTTTGTCAGGTAGGAAAAAGAAAAAAATGAAAAAACAGAGAAATGAAATGAAAAACAGGTGGACACTCAAGCAACTGAAATGAGTAGCAGTGGAAAGTTAAACATGAATACTTACGGAGCTGCCCAAGTCGAGCTTTTTCTTTTTTACCAAACAACCGGCCTATTGAAGACTTGATTCCTTTCTTCTTGGGGGCTTTGTGAAGAGAGTCTTGGCTACTATTGGCACTGCCAAGCCCAAGGCTTTCTGCCTCAAGGGAGGCAGATAAACTACTGCAAAACACAAGAGGGCAAATTGCTTCTTTTGATGCAACATCCACAGGGTTCACAAGACTTTTTTCCTTTACAAAGGCACGAAAGAAGGAACGCTTAGCAGTTATTTTCTCTTTCTACTTGCTTTTCCTTGTAAGCATATTGAAGTATGGTTTCCTCAGCCTTAAAGCCCTGAACCTGGAGGTTTTCCCTAGAAAATTTTCTTTTTTTCATGATTTTTTACTTTTTTTTTTTTTTATATAATCTCAAACTAATCAATAATCATAGGTTAGTTTACATAGGTTGGTTAAAAGACCTTCTATTATTGAGCACTTGACCCTTTATTTATTTCTCAGAGTTGTCTTTTAAAACCTTAAACATAAACATTCCTTTCTTTAATTTTGTAATTCTTTACTGTGGGAAAGCTCAGAATATCACTTCTGTTTTAAATAATAGAATTTATAACTGAGCAAGGAATCATAATTTGAATTATAAAATTCTTGCTTTAATAAAAATTCCTTAAACAATGACAAAAAATCTTAAATATAATGACCTATAATAAGAAATTTAAATATAACTAACAATAAAGTTTAAATTCCTAGTCTATGGTTTTACTGAATTCTCCTCTAGCCATCCTTCTCTCAGTTTTGGAGCCTAATTCTTTTAATTTTAATTTCATCTAAGTAGGATTTAGAAGCAACAGATTGTATATATACCCTGGTAATTACTGCACACTTTTTTCTTATAGTTCTCAGATATTCTTTTAGGTGCATGATAAGCTGAAATGATCTCCAAATGGTTGGTCTAGGTTTTATTTCTGGTCAATGTATTTCACACTGTTATTAACAGGAATGATTCAATAGACATTGCTACAATTTTTTTCTACATCTGTTAAATTGACAATTCTATGATGAATTATTTAACTTTACTTATTCATCCTAATTAATCTGAGTTCACATTCTCTAACCTACAAAAGTTATTGCTTTTTATATGTTACAATATAATTCACTCTTGTGTTGGAGAGTGAAGGAAGAATATATTTTGAAGTTGGAGTAAATGGTTTTCTTCCACATTAGGAGTTAAAAATAAACAAAATGGATAGAAATGCCTTAAAGCACAGAAAGCTCTGTTTCAAAAATACTTGTTGTAAAACACATACTATTTAGAAGGCAGATTCTTTATTAAGGTATTAATCATTGTCATTATGTTCAGCTATATTAATTATGTGTCCAGAGATGCTGCAATTGATAACAGTGAAGGGACATTTATTTTAGATGTAAATTATATTCTTAGATTTATTTATGTCATTAATTATTATAGAGATCTGCTTGCAATTTTTTAGGTAGATGGAAAGGACAGTATGAAGAGTCACTATGATAAATGAGATAATTCCCCATGTTAGCTTATCTTTTCCATTAATATTTTCACAAATATGCTTTTTTTTTTCTTTTCTAAGAATTTTGTGTGTGAGGAGCTGCTATGACTGGCAGCACAAAGGATGGCTGATGCACATGCTAGTCTGCTAAAAGGAAATTAGGCACAATCATTCACTTTTCAGACCTTAAATACTCTTACACTATAAGCCAAATTTATATCTTGTCCTTGAAGGAGAGCAGAATATGCCACCCAGAATGTGGCACTTTGGCATGTAGATTTTTTCAAGTAGAAGACAATCTGAGCCTAGCTGGCTTTTTACCTCGCCCTTAACTGCCTAAAAGAATTTAGATAGGGGGGGCAGGTACCAGGAAGAGAGCTATTAACAGAGATAACATTTTATATCAGAAGGACTTATCTACATGGCATGGCAAACATTTGTTTACCAAACATCTGCTCTTTTCATCTTTCTGTGAATTGTCTACCTCCTCTTTGAGGCCATGGGCCCCTACTCACTTCTCCTTAGCTCAAGATGGTATATAAGCCTCAATGTAAGCTTTACTGCTGGGGTGGGGGTGGGGGGAGTCTCATATTTTTCTGAGATTCTCCTATGGATAAACTTTGTTCTCCTGTTAATCTGCCCTTTGTCAATTTAATTACTAGACCAGTTAAAAAAACTTAGAAGAAAAGAAGGGAAAAGTTTTCTACCCTTACATTTTAGAATCCCTTTAGATTATGTTACTTTTCTTAATAAATTCTTCCTCTAGCCTGACTCCATTTTAATAAGAAATATCCACCAAAAATAAAAGAGCTATTCTCATAAATATTGGCTAGTAACAAGACCACAAATACCTAATTCATTTTAAAACTAAAAACTTGATCTCAGGATGGAAATTTGTCTTTTTTTTTTTTTTTTTGCAAATGGGGAGAGGTAGCAGGAAAATACCCTAATGGAGAACTACAGTTCAAATAAAAAAATTTATATACATTTTTTAGACAGTCTATTTGATAATACTTAAAAGAAAGAGGAATATTTTCAGAAAAAGAGCATACACTTTACAGTGTGCTGGGAGAAGCATACCTTCTGGCCTCATTGTGGTAGGAAGAAGGAAGGGTGTGAGTCATCCTGATAGCTCTAGGGGTAGGGGGAGGAGAAGTTTCACACTTAATCGTAGCTTTATCCTCCCGACCATCTTCTTCCACCACTGCAATCTGAAAGTGAAAACAACATATTCAGATGAATTTTCTAAATTTCAATTGAAGTTGATGAAAATGGAGAATTGTTAAAGCAAGGCGAAGTAAATAAATCTAATATGAACACAAACAGAAAACGTGGGGCACATAAGTCTTACATATATAAATTAACATTATTAAAGAGTGTGAATTTCATTACTCTTTAAAAGTGAAGAAACTCCAGTTTAAGTAAACGTGGACCCACTACAAAACATTATTTAAGAGTAGATAAGCACCATAAATCAATACACGGGGACTATGAAAAAGTTATTTTGGGATCTATTTTGATATACCAGAATGTAAATGCTTTAAAAAAGCAAATTTACTTAAAAAAAAAAAATGCATAGTTAGGTTATCCTAACATGGAGATCTTTTAAGTGGGGGATGTTTGAAGTGAGAAGAGAAGTTGGCAAAATATAACTTCATCAGATAAAGCGTTTTGTATCAGTCAAGCTAAAGAAATGTATCCTAAGGTGTTTAAAAAATGTGTTGGAGTTTGTAAGAAAAAAATTTTTTAAAAAAAATCACAATAATAAAAGATTCCATACGTATTGCAACTTGTTTCATCTCATACTACCTGTCATGGGAAAATTGACAAAGACATATATAAAACCATAAGAAGAGGGGATGGAAGGAATTTTTTGAAGAACAATTTATTTCAAAATCTAAAACAATTCTGGATAGCATAAATTTTGTCAGAGATATGGATATAGAGCTGTATTAAAACGAGACTTTTCAACAATCAAGTTAATTGTGGAGTTATTTTTCAACACTGTCATTTTTTTTCATAGCATCATTGTGCATGAAAATACATATAGTGAGAGAAAACTGTGGTAAGCATAGCTAAAAGATAGAGTTCCAGAAGTTCTGATAAAAAAAGTTCTCAGTATTACTACAGAAAAATTTATAAAGCTGTGTTCTTATGTCTACGCAATGTCTTGCTTGTTTCTACATTAAGCTGTTATGCTTAAATGTGTTTACATATGATAAAGACCTCATGCATTAGAGAAACTTAATGAAATTGTTTGTCTGTGCTCTTGTCACCCAAGCCTAGAATACTCTTTCACAGTTTAGGTAGCTAACTTAATAGGATTTCCCCTCTCCATTTCAATTAGCATAGTGCCACCAGAAGAATCTTTGTCAAGATTGCATATCAATGCTATGAAAAACACTTTCTAAACTCACATCTCATTTAAACTCATGGAGTGTGTTTCAAAATTCTTCCTAATATACATTTGTTTCCACAGTTCATAATCTAATTGTGATCATTTTCACAATCGTTTCTCCTAAGCATGATGGTTTCTGTTTTCTGATTTTTTTCCTGAAACATCTTCTTATAAAATACGCTCCTCCCTTCACTTTGCCAAACTACACCAACTTTTACAATATTCGCTTTTAAGAACACCGTACACAAACTGTTCCTCTGAATAACGCTGAGAGCTCACACTATGTAAACAAAATTGAAGAAAAAGGCTTTAGAATCAGAGATGGATTTGAAACCTGGTTTCTCTTATTTGTTGTATGTATGACATGTGCTAATTATCTGCTCTAAGAATAAATGTCTTCATCAGTAAAATGGAAGTGATAATGCCTTAATGTGTTCTTTTGAAGTATCAATAAAATCATGCATGTAACTCCCTGCGATATACCTGGATATGTAACAATTTTTAGTTTGTGATCTTCTTTCCATAACCTACTTTTCTTACCAATCATCTCTACCCCCTCAATTCCCTGAGGTCGAATTTCTGTATAGGACCTTCCTTAGTGACTTTTATTTGTTTCTTAGATGCAATGAACTTCTTTATATCATTAGTCAGATTTCTTCCTATGTTCCCAGTATCATTCTTTTAAGTTGCAGAGGAAGTCAAAGGCAAATAATAACATTATGCATGGTAACCTCTTCTGATAGTATCAACTATCAGTAACCAACTGATAGTGTCAAGGAGCACTATAGGAAAGTAGATAATGGCTCAGGAAAAGAAAAAAAAGAAATGTTACCAATATCAATCTGTGCTATCTGAGCATGGTATAGGTTCCCTTAAGTAAAAAAAAAAAAAAAAAAAAAAAGTTCTCTGGTTCCAAAAGTGTTTTGGGCATAGGCTGACTATCACATCTTGTTGATGCTGAAAAACAGATTTATGCACTAGATAGTAGGTTGAATCTTTGAAATCTTTCCCATCTGATATACCATGAGTTCAAGCTCTGCTGTTCTCAATTATTTATCAAGGTGTCATTTTGTGAATCAGAACTGGAGTCCATTTGTTTTCCATAGTCAATATTTATTCTCTTGATTTTATTCTGAATAGGAAAGTGGTCTATTAACTATATTTTCTAATTTTCTATATTCTTGATGCTCTAGCACCTGGGGCATGCTGACTAAGGAGAGACTGCACCTCTCAGTTAGCTAATTCGTAGAGAAAGCAAACCACTTCCCTGGAGTGTGCCTTCCATATGCCAATCAATCAGTCCAGACCAGCGCCTCAAACCATCTTCTCTGTTTGGTTCTTATATTCTAGGAAACAATATTCCTCTGCCTTAATGATCCTAGGCCAGGTATCAGATAACTGGAGACAACCCCTTATACCCTAGAGCCCACTAAAATTATTCAAACCAGCCAATTCTAATCCTAATTTTCTTGCCTTGCCTTTCTCACAAAAACCATAATATAGGTCTCTGCCTATGCTTTCCCCTCACTCTTTCTGCCTCTTGAACCATATATTGACTTCCCCATGGCCCTACATAATGTAGCATGCCCCATTCTCTTGAAAAGTGTGAGTAACAAGTTACCTCTTCATTGGCAGTTGTTTCCTGATCTGTTGGCCTCACTTTACCTGAGTAATAGTGAAACCTACATTTTAAATAAGCAGCATTGTTCTAAAATTGACAATAAAGTATCTAATTCTACCAACAGTGCTCTAAATAATCTGTGGAAAACTCAAATAGTTAGTCTTCATAATATAATATTGTTACAGAAAGCATCAAAAATTTTATTTTTGAGACATTTGCTTTTATGATAATATTTAAAGAATTAAATAACAATTAAATATTTTTAATATTTCTTGTTTAATGTTAATAAAATACTTCAACTAGAGGAAATATAATTTTAAAGCTTTCATTAAAAAAACAATATTCAACTAGTAATCATATAAAAGTTATTTACAGTACCTTTCTTCGATGTTTCCTTAGGTCACTTGGCTGTGATTGGCAGTAATAAAAGCAACATAAAGCAGAACTAGTTAGTGATTGCCATTTGACCATGTTACAAGTTTAAATAGTATCTACAACTTGGCCATATATTTTTTTATTTTATTTTTTTCTAAATAAATGTGTTTATAATTGTTCAGTGATCATTATAAAGGCACTCCTCCTAGGAATGACTTTAGAGAGGGAACTTCCTAGATGGATTGGGTGGAGGCATGTTTCTATGATGGAGCCATGTGTACATATGTGAGATACGAGACATGGACCCTGGGAATATAAAGTACATATTGAGTGAACTATCAAGAAATAAATATGGGACTATCTCTCCTAAGAAAATATAGATGGAATGAAAAAGATTATGCATAAATAAAGATTCAATGCATGTATATAGACTTCATAAACATTCCCTTTACCCCATCTGTGGACAGCCTTGGGACTCCATTGGGCATGTATGCTATTCCAGAGGGATCTCAAACTTCCTGGATTCTAATAAATCCCCCATTCTCAAAATGCTCTAGTCTCTGTATAACATGTTTCTTGGGCTGCTGTTTTCTTGTCAACGCTCTTTTAAAGACTTTTTAAAAAGTTAATTCTTTATGATTCTATATAAACACTATTCACTTAATATCTTTGTTAATCTTTCTTATGTAAGTAAAATAACTTTAGTTAAACTATTACATTATATTTTACATTATAATTGTTATTAGAAAATAAGTTGAATTTCCTCATCCAGTATTTTAACTAGATATTGCTAGCATGTTATTTATGATTATGGGTTTGTGGTAAAGTAAAAGTAAATACAACAGATAAAAGTAAATACAAGAAAAAACAAATAACCATGTTTGCAAAACGTATACAACCCAAACCAATACAATATCTTTTCAACCTTAGTTTTCTGTCCTTAAAATTTCTAAATTTCTTGGAATGTTCAAACATGGATTATATCTAACGAAAATTATTTTTCCTCCAATATTTTTTACAAGTAAAAGAAAATCTACCTGCATTTCTCTAATAACAATTGTGAATTTAATGACAAAGTTTTATTAAGTGATAAGAAATTCTTGCATTTCATTTCTTGTTTTTCTGAGTCAGATACTGAACATTTTAAATACTTTTTAACCCTCAGGAAATTCTCTAAATATTTTTTTAAGTACTCTAATTAAGGTGTAATAATGCTCATTTACCACTAATTTGTTTATGACTAATTGCTCAAGAAAATGCATGGAAGCACTGGTACCTTTTCACACAAACACAAACATCACATTTAAATATTATAAATATATTATTTTATTAATAGAAAAATAATAACGCTGTCAAGGATTATAATGCTAGTGTTTATGAAATGAAAATACTTAAAAGGTAAAAATATTATGTTATTTAAACATAAGGAAATAACAGAAGCACAGAAATAACCAAAGTTTTCTTGCCTTGAATGATGACTAAATTAACCTCTGTGGGAGAAGATTCTTACTTAGTTTTAGTAATATGTAGGTGATCAATATATATGCAGCACATATTACACATGCAGAAACTAAGCCAGAGACTATATCATTTTAGTCAATAAAATCAGATGCGTGGTCTCTAGATTTCTAAAGTAAGTAGATCACAATGTAGCTCAGTTATTGCATTAGTATATCTTAGTATATTGACTAAAAGTTTGTGCTGTATCTGAGTGGGGTCAGTTCTGATTAGTTGGTCTTTTTTTTCTGATTGACCATTGTCTGTACCGTCTATTTAAAAATATTTTTAATATCAAATTGGAAATTAGCACAGAATAGAGGATTCAATGACTGAAGAAGATAAATGTTTCCTTTTTAAAAAAATTTCACAATTTCTCTTGTATTGACTTAATTGTATTCAAGTCCCATAAGTGTAGAGTTTGAATATGAGATGTATTGCCTCGCCATGTAAATAGTTTTCTGTTTTAATTCTCAATTGTAAAATCAAAAGAAAAAAATACCTAAACTTATATATATATAACAGGAATTTCATGAAGATAAAATAAAAACTTAAAAATTAATTATTTATAAGGCAGTTTTGCAGTCTTCTTCTAGAGATGAGAGTACTACATATACACACACATACACACAGCTTCTTTGTTCAGATATTATGCACACAAACAGATACAGGCATTGTGCACTTTTATAGAAACTTTACAACTTTCTGACCAGAAACACAACATACATTCTATGTTTTTCTGTAGTATCATTAATTTCTCCTTCATTTATTATGTTTGTGTTAGATTTTGCAAAGTATAAACTATTATTTTACCTATTTGTATTTTAATTTCTATCCTCAACTGTTTCATTTTAATTTAAATTTTATCATTTTAATAATATAGTTTTAGTATTATTACGAAAACAAAATTTTATCTCCACGAATAGTTCAGAATATTTAAATCTTCATTATTGTTGTCAATTTAACATTTTTCCAGGTAATCACAGAAAAAAGAGACAATAGCACATGCTTTGATTTAGCAAATTTGAAGAAAAATACAGCTCTACTTACTAGCTGTTTTGAACATAGGCATTTACTCAACCTCTTAAAGCTTCAGTTCCCTCCATTCTCTGTTGAAGTAACATCCTCAGAATTTCAAATATTATAATGAGAATTAAATGACTACACATCATGGCATGCAGTTGTCATTACAACCATATTTTCCAGAGGTTTTCTTATATTATTTTTAGCAAGGATGCTTTGGTTTTCTCTCGATTATATTTGGAGACTTCCTAACTCAAGCTTTCAACATGTAAGCCCAAATATAAAGATAAATGAATAACGAATTAAATAATAAAGAAGAGTGAAAATGTTGACATGAAATTCTAAAACAAACTTGGGAAATTGCTGCTATTGCTTTTGATGGCTCTAATTAAAATTATTTTGTTATGTATATTATAAAATTATAACATTCTATGTTGGTGTATTGAAGAATTATAATAACTAATTTTTGTTATTTATTGGGCTAAAAAACCCCAGTCCTAATTTACTTCTTCAAGATATCATTAATAAAAATGTACTTAATGGTTTAAGTCATTCAGATTTCTAATGTGATATCGATTCCTAGTCTTCTATTTACTTATTATATGACCTTGAGCAAGTCACACCTATGTAGGTAACATTTCTTCATCTCATAATGAGATTAATAATTGTACCTACCACATAGGGTGGTTGTGAAAAAAAGAAAAAGAAACAATAAAATGCATAGAAAGCCCTTAATCTGGAATAACAGCCAATCAATATCAGTTAATGGAGGCAAAGTTTTTCTGGACATATCTTCATACCAGTGTCATGACTCCCATCCGATCCATTTCCCTAGCAGGACTTCGCGGGGTGAGCTTCGGTGTCGAGTGTCCACTGGGGGGAGATGAACTGGCCAGTGAAGAAGCTGTAACCGAGGCAGTGATGGAGGTACCTGGGTGGACCCTCGCCAAATTCAGGCCTTCCAGGCTCACACTAGCTACTCTATTCTCAATTTCTTCAGCACGTAACTCTGTAGATTCTTTTTCTTCCTGAATTAACCTGAAATATACAGTTTAATTTTGATCCATTATATGATGCTATAATGGAAATTGTAAGCAATAAAACTACTCTGTGAACATTATATCAAATCTTATATTTCCATCTTTTTCCTCAAGAAAATATAATTTCCAAAAAATTCTAAGGACATCCTAGCTGAAGTTTAGAAAATCTTTTTTAAGTGATACATAATTCGCCTCCACTTTCAGTTTGACCCTCTTTCTATACTACCACCTACTAAAACTCTTTTAAAACCTTGCCTGCCTAGTTAATTTCTGCCAATAATCTTAAATTTGCATTTGAGCTCAGGTCCTGATAAATGAGACTTTTAGAAACTCAGGTCCCAACAAAGTTACTGAACCTTACCTCTGACCCAATAACAAAGTATAATTAATAAAATTCTCAATAAACAGTCACAATTATCATTTGATGAAATAAAACCCTTATACTTTAATTAATATCTATTTAGCCAAGTTGTCTTTTTAAATAAGCACCAAGCAATTTAACAATGTAGAGATGAGAGGAGGTGGATAGGTAGATGGATGGATGATGGATGGATGGATGGATGGATGGATTGATAGATATATAGATAGATAGATAGATAGATAGATAGATAGATAGATAGATAGATGATAGGTAGATAATGAGAAAAATTAAACTGTTGCTATAAATGCTTTTGATAAAACAAAACACTATTACAATTTTTCTTTAAATAGGGCAAGCTTCAAAAATGTGTATAAATTAGTTATACATACGAAGAATAAAGAGCTTTAGCTGGGTTGCATAAAGTTCCTATTTTAGTTGAATCTATATATATTTTATATATAGGAAAATCTCTTTATCTTCCCCTCAATTAAATTTGCTGTAAATACTAAACTGCTTTAAAAAAATTAAAGTCAATAAAATTATTAAGAAGCATATTTAATCTTAATAATAATTTTTTTACTTACATGAAGAATATGAATTTTATCACTTTAAAATTTATTTTCATGCATTTTAATTTCAGCCCAAAATCAGAGTCCCAAAGGAAGGCTTTATTAAGTAACAGAGTACAATATAATTAATGCTTTAAACAAATTTCAACGGAAAAACTGCCTTCTCTTTAAAAACAAAAAGAGTGATTTTGTATTTTTAAAATGATTGGTGGAAAATGACTCCTTCACAAAAATCTGATGTGAGGTGATGTGGTTCTGCTGTACAAAAAAATGTGTGGTTATTAACTCCAATATTCTATTAATTTTAAAGGAGAGTCAAACCTAGAAGGACAGCTAAGAGGTAAATCAAAGTTTAATCAAACAGGAAATCTAATGCTACATAGATATTCAGTTTATTTGAAAAAGAAATAAATTACAATCCACTGATCTTTTGAATCTTGATGAAAATATGGAAAACAAAGAAAATAACAGAATAGATTCCCTTTACAATGTTCCAGTTTAGAATGTTGGGAAGGATATCCCATAGGAATCATACAGAAGGCTGAGAGGATGAATATAACTACAAAAGAAAAGCAGGCAAATGTAGCTAACTATAGATGAACAGATTAATGGCCATTGCAGTAGCAAATGATTTTGAAGTAATTTGATCTCTTCCTCTAAGAGAATCAGTGAACTGAGAAGCCAAAGGAATTTTTTAAAATATTATTTTGTGAAATAATTAATTTGTGAACGAGGAAAATTTTAACCATAGAAAAATTCTGGTTGTTGTTATCATATTGACATGGTTTACATCAAGGGATTAATTTCTTTTAAATGTTGCTATGTATTCAAATTTTATGTATATCTTAATTTCTTATAATCAGCAATGACATTGATCTACATTAAAGGGGGCAGTGATGTAACATATTGAAAGGCAATAGTTTGAATTCATTATTTGGAAATCAAATTAATTAGCCTAGGCCAAGACTATTAGTGGAAATTACTACCATAATGTAACTAAGCTAAGAGTCCTTGGCGGGACAGGTTATCACAGAGGATGTGTGTATAAATAATTATCACAAGGATGTATACTTAATTTCTAATTCATTTAGTGAGTTCAACCATTAGCTGCACAGCATCAGAAACTGTTACTCAGTTTGAATTCATGTTTTATATTATTTTTTCTATTTATATTAATCAAATATTTATGAAGCAATTTTTATTTATCAAGCAAAGTTCTGATTCTAGACATAAAACAGTGAGCAAGACCAATTACATTTATCGCTCTTATATTACTTAAAATCTAGTGAAGGTAAAGAACTGAAAGATAGAAGTGATGGTAGAGCTGTTGGTGGTAAGAATAAAGTGGGAAAGGGTTAGGACAGCACAGTGTGGATTGTGGAGAATGTTCCAGAAGAAAGGAAAAGCAACAGAAAAGGGGATAGCATGGAACATAGATGACCACCGTGGAGAGCTAGGTAGCTATGAATCAGAACAGGAAGTCAGCAGATTCAGCTAGAGCCAGAAAGAACACATAAAGGCATTGTTCTAAATAGTAAAAACTGTTCATAAGTTGAAAAACAAGTTAAAAATAGTTTCCTGATGTGTGAAAAAATACAAGTCCACCTGGCATAGTAGAGATTTTTGCTGGGGCTATTCAAACTAACGATTGAAAAAAACTGTGAATGCCACCGAGACTTAAGAAAGTATAAAACTTAAAATTTAAATTATAGTGACAACATTTCTCAAAACTTGAAATATGAACTTGTACAATTTCAATTCTATAATGTTATTTACTTTTTTGAAACCTATATTATCCAGATACTGCATGATGATTGTAAATTTTTTCATATATACTTTGAAATAATTCATAGTTAATTACTCCCAATGTCTAAATACCTTTAAGGAGCTGGTTGCATATTAATTTGCATGCTATTTAGTACCTTCACTACAGCATTAAATATATCTTAAGAATGTATCTTATCATCACGAATACCATTTAAGTAGTAAATTTTAATTTAAAAAGTGCTTCTACGTATAGTGAAAAGGATTTTATCTTTATTTTGTTGTTTTCGTATCATAAATCTATGTATATTTCATGTATGTTATCTACGAAGGCTGTCCTATTATTGTATAGGACATATACAGATATCCTGCGAATCTTGTGAAAATACACATTCTTATTCAGTAGGTATGGTGTGAGGTTTGAAATTCTGCAGTTCTAACACCTCCCAGGCGATGCTGATGCTTCTGATCTGATGACTGTATTTTTAATATCAAGGTTTTCTAATCCCTTGAAAATATCAGTAATAATTGAACTCACCTGATTTCTTTGTTGATGGCATCCAATTGTTCCTGAAGCATCATAGCTAGAGTCTGGGCATCAGAATGACCACTCGGAGAGAGAAGATCCATTGAGCTAAAAATTGTTTCTCTGTCATCATCATCAATATCAGACATTTCTGTGTCACTTTCAAAAGGGTGGCTGCTTAGTACTCCAATTTGTTGAGTTCTATTCCACTCATGATCACCAAGAGATTTTACCTGAGTAGTAAATGAACAATTATAGCATTTATCACATTGCTCATTTGCAAAGTAATATTCTAAAAAACAACAAAAAAGCACAAATGATTTTATAGCTTACCTGGCAAAAGCCAAATTGATTAACACTCAATAATCAATATAATAATGATACAATAATACAATAATAATATTTAACATATTGGTTCAATAAAATAGTTCCTTGGCATGTTTAAGTAATGGGAGGTATTAATTGTCAGCATAAATATGAAGACTTGTATAGAAATAAAGATAATAAACTTCCGTATGATTTCTAGTTCAACCCCAAATCAAGGTACGAAATCAAGAATTTGTACACAAGCATTCCCGTTTCTTGTACTATTAGCCTTACCTACATTTTCTTAAAAACTATAAGACTAGGACTACAAATATTATCACACGACAAATTATCACACGACAAATTATACAAGAATTCTTGTATAATTTGTCGTGTGATAATATTTGTATTTACATAGTTTCTAACAAAGTATTATTAAAAAATATTGCAAAGTGATTTAATTTTATTTCCACTACTCTGGTCTCTTAAACACCTCATTGATTTTTCTAAGCCCAAGGCATAATAATTAACATGGTTATTTTTTTTTTAATTGATATAATAAATGCTCATGTGAATGAAAGTCTCAAGTAACCAACAGACCAGTGTTTTTCAAGCTGTAATCTGAAAGTATAACAGGCTTGGGAATAAGAGGTAGGTCTCGGGGTTTTCTGCTTTTTAAAAAATTGTTTTTTATTTTTGCAATGATGTAAAATAATTTTGCATGGGACCACGTGATATCGCCTCGAGTATTTAGGATTTGAGGACTTGAATTAGCAATTGTGTTTCAAATTAGTTTGGTATTAAGTAGTGCTAGTTTGTCATATACAAATGAGAAAAGAACTGATATGAACTTAATTTATACCTCATTTGTTCATTTATTTATTTATTCATCAACAGATATTGAAGGATTAATTTATACATGACACATAGGTATGTGCCATTTAAAAACTAAAGGGTGTTAAGAGCCAGTGTACAAATAAGACAAGTATGTTATGTAGTATTTTGGACACATAAAAGTGATCGGAGAAAACAAAGTATATTTAGGGCACAAAGGAACTATTTTACTTCCCTATAAAATGAAACTATATATTTACTCAACATGCACAGCATACAAATTTTAAATTATTGAGTAAATGAAAGGTCGGCACTGTAGTTGATAATGAACAGTTCTCTACAAATACTTTCAATAGCCTATGTACATTTTCCTCAGTGTTTTAAAAATAGTAATTATAATTAAATACTTAATTTTAATTAACAATATAAATGCCATTGCTTAGGTACTCAAGCGAACCAAAAATCCATTTGTTTGGCAATATAGCATAGTGAATAAAAACATAGAATTTGAAACCACATAAACACAAGTTCACGTATTGATTTTATTGCTGGCTGTGTAAAATTGAACATTTAAAATTCTGAACTTTAATCTTTTCATATCTGCAATTAGTTTAAAAATAGTACTCAAATCATAAAGTTATATGAATAAATATATGGGAAATGTTAAATTTCTGGCACATAATAGGGCTTTTATGTTAGTTATAGTTTTTAAAACGTGTCTTATGTCACAGTGAAAACTAATAAAATTTCAATTATCTCAGTATTAAACTTCTATCCCAAATAGAATAGTGTATTTACTTAAAACCATCAGAGACTTGGAATAAAAAGTTTAACCTTTGGCTCATCTCTTCGAACACCCATGCGGCCTCTCCTTGGTCTTCTTATTACTTTAGTTGTTCTATAATCAGACTGGCTGTCCACTAGGGACCCAACTGAATACCGCAACTCAGCTGAGGTGTCTAGATGAGTCCTGGAAAAAAGAAAAAAAAAATAAAATATAGCTAATTTCCAAAAGTTATACTTATTAGCAAATCACTATCCACTTTGTAAATGGAAATAAAGCATAAACCCTCAAGAATATAAATGTCAAGAAAGAAAACTGATGAATTGTCATGACTCTTTGAGGTCCCTTCAGAGGCTTACGTCAGAAATTCCAGTCTCAGGTTCATTCCTGAAGGTTGAATACATTTTCTCTTTTTAGAATATAAAAAACCTGTTTACTATCATTTTTAAATGTGATAGTGCAACAAAACATATGAAGATTGATAACCAAGATCCACTGGTTTAAATTCTGACAATTCTATTTAGTCTGAGCTGTTTAGTGGATCTCTCAATATATGCTATTTGTGACTGTATTTGTTTTAAACATTCCTCATTAATCTAACAGTATAAAAGTTTGGGGTCCCTGAATTCTTTATTTTTCAATGATCTATTTTTCAATTTATGAAATCAATAAAAAAGATTAATCTAAGGTTAATAATTTTATTTTTAATAAAATAAGATATATCATCAAAACAATTTTGAGCTTTTAATAAGACTGATGCAAAAAGATAAAGAAAAATCTTTTGATAAGCACGTTTGATTTTGAGTTCTGCTTAGAGACAAAAACAGTTCAATATACCAATTGGAAAATATTATCACACTGGTTTTCAATAAGTATAATAATTAAGTACACTGTAATCGAGGTATAGTATAAGTTTCCCCTGGAACATTATTTATATAGATTAACAGCAAATTCAGTTCATTACTGCAATAGTGATGATGATAACAGTGACAACATGTTGTCCTATAAATGATCATCAGGAGAAAATATACTTAAAGCCGTTTGCTCTATTTTGTTGTTTATTTTTTCTTTTATTTTTTAATTATTATTATTTTAATTTTTCAATTACAGTTTACATACAATATTATGTTAGTTTTTGGCATATAACATAGTGATTAGACATTTATATAACTTATGAAGTGGTTACCCCAATAAGTCTAATACCCATCTGACACCATACATAGTTATTATAGTATTATTGACTATATTCCTATACTGTACTTTACATCCCTATGACTATTTTTGTAACTGGAAATTGGTACATCTTAATCCCTTTCTCCTTTTCCCTTGTCCCCCACAACCTCACTCCCATCTGGCAACCATCAAAATGTTCTCTGTATCTATGAGTCTGTTTTGTTTGTTTTTTTTTTTTTTTAGATTCTACATATGTGAAATCATATGCTATTTGTCTTTTTTTGTCTAACTTATTTCACTTAGCATAATACCCTCCAGGTCCATCTATGTTGTCTCAAGTGGCAAACTGCATTCTTTTTTATGGCAGAATAATATTCCATTGTATATATACAACCACATCTTCTTTATCCATTCATCTATAGATGGACAATTACTTCCATATCTTGGCTACTGTAAATAATGTTGTAATGAACGTAGGAGTGTATACATGTCTTTTCAAATTAGTTTTGGATTTCTTTGGATAAATACCCCAAAGTAGGATTTCTGGATCATGTGGTAGTTCTATTTTAAATTTTTTGAGGAACTTCCATGCTGTGAAAATGGAATCCTTACACACTGTTGGTGGGATTGTAAATTGGTGCAGCCAGAATGGAAAACACTATGGAGGTTCCTCAAAAGCTGTGTTTTCTTTTGAACTTAGGCTTTTGCTGATCTACTGTTCTCTTTTTGAACAAAGCAATTCCAAATATTTGGCAAGATTAAAAGAGGTTAGGTGAAGTCTGAGTGTTTGCAACAGTAGAAGACATTGGCTTAACTGATGCAAGTCTTTATTTTTTCAAAAAGGACGTTAAAGCAAATGAACTAAGGAATCATTCCCGAAATAGATGACAGCTATTGTTTTACAGCATGAACTTGAGACTTAATCAAGCAAACTGGTTTTGTTGTGGAGTAATTACATATAAAAAACTAACCAACAATGCCATGCTCATAAATGGTACAAATCTCCATCTTTATCTATTTGGCAGAGGGTATAATTTCATAAAGACATATATATTTTAGTTATTATATGTGCAAGGAGTTATTAATATCTGGTAAGATAAAGAATGAATGAAATTGATTATAATAGACTTTGAACTATCTAGCTTAGAACATTCTAGGTATCTTTTGTCTGTGGAGGCTTAGGTTAATATCTCTTTGGGCATCAGAGTGCCATGTCCAAAATTATAACTCCTTATCCCAGAAATATTTTTTTCTTTGTTTTTTCTTTCTCTCAACTCCAGGTCATTTATAAAAGCATGAAAGAAAACACAGATCCAGTCCCATTGATAACCTTCTTAAAACTCTTCAATGTTCTCACAAGGCCATCTACAATTTGGGCCTTTCCTACTTTGCATCTTCACTTCTAGTTACTCTCTGTATTATTCTCTCCATCTAGCTGTACTGACATTCTTTCCATTCCTTCAATAACTCAATTTTCTTTCACTTCTGACGCTTTAAAAGCGTCAGTTTCTTCACACATATACATGTTTAGCATTCTTAAAGTCTCAGTTCATAAAGTCCCATTGTCTAAAACTATCCTAGTTCTCTATATTACTTTCATTAAAACAGACCTCAAACTATTATTCCTGTATTTTCCATCTGGAACATGTCTTCTTCATCATGATCACCACTTTATTTCTACTGCCTCAGTGTCTGGCAAGTAGAAAGTTCTTGAAATAACAAAAGATCTGAGTTAACATCAATTGTAGAAGGACCCATTACTTATACTTTATCTAAAAAAGTTACTGTTCAGCTTGTTCCTTTAATTCAAGTCTGTGAGTTAGTTCTCTAACAGGAGAAATCAAAGGGAATATTTTCATACATTTCAATTTTTAAACATTTTTGTGTACATCATTTTGAGAGGCACTTGGAGGTCTAGGTTTACAAGTTTATTTATAGTCACTGGTTCATTTAGAAAAGGAAACATATAGTTTTTCTTTCTAAATCTCCTGTAACTCTTACACATATTCTCACAAAAGAACTTCCACAGAGAAATCAAATGTGAATTTCTCTTAGAGTAAATCTGTTACCCATCCTTCTGCTTCTGAAATGTCCTCCATCATCCTTTCTAATTATTCACATCCTATCCTTCTTCAGAGTTCAGACAAATCAGGCCATCTCCAGACACTCTGGAACTTAGTTTACTTTATTTTCAGATGAGATAGTACTAGTAGAGGATATTAGTTACTGATATTCTCTAACTTTAACTCATCTCTTCCTAATGTTTTACCTGTAAGATCAAATACAAGTAGATGAAGTTCTCATGCATCATGTTTTCATTATTGTTTCTTTCTTAATTATGTGCACTCAGAAGCATGGATGTTCAATAAACAATTGCTATTTAATATTCAGTCATCCTGTAACTTATTATAAATTCTATCAGTTCAGCTATCTCAATAATTCCTACAATACTTAATACTTGTGATGTGATTTACTGTTTACAAAACACCTTTGCTTACTTTTCTCATTTTAGTATTTTTTATATAATTTAGTATTTTATATATAATTTATGTAAAATAAATAGAAAATTAGAATCTTATTAAGGAAATGGGTTTTCCAAAATCAAACAGCTAGTAATTGTATATCTGAAACCTAGAAATGTCAATCTTATTATGCTTGGTCTAGTGTTGTTTCCATTACAATCTGCTGCATCAGAGAAGAATTGTTCTGTGTGTAGTGCTTTTATTGTGGCTAAATGTCATGTTGTTAGGTGGCCCATGATGACTCACTGCAGTGATGAACTTTTAGATAACACTTCTACAGTTCTGCATTTCTGTGACTGAAGGTCAAAATGACAACAGAATGGTCATTTGGTCCTATTAAAATATCTTTAATTTGTTGATTGAATAATGCTCATTCTACATATTTACTCCTTTGATATTTTATCAGCTCTTTTTATCCTTCTTCTTCATCATCACCATCATCATCATCATTATCATCATCATCACTATGTAAACATATAGTACTGAATTAATAATTTCTGTTCAGATATATATCGGAATAAAAAAAATTAAGCATGGCTTTCTAAATTAAAAGTCTACATATTTAAAAAAATGGACATTTTTATGCCTGCAGAACTGTGTTTTTTATACTAAACTGAAAATAGAAATACTCAAAATATTGAATGTTTCATTAATATTTATACCAAAAAATATAAGCTTTATAATTTTTTCTTTAGATTTTTCATTTGAGCATCTGAAAAATGCTTTACCAGATAGTTATTCATTTACTAATATCTATTGAGAACATATTACATGCCAGCTTTTTCTTTAAGGTGTGGGGATTATAGTAATTAAACAGACAAAAATTCTAGCCCTTGTGGAACTAAAATTCTTAAGATAAGCATAAGACCAAGGAAAATGAACTTATAGAAATCTGTGGTGGTGAAAAGTTTCAAGTAGCTGATATTTTGTATTGCCTAATAAATAAATGATCAAATATATGAGTCTTTCTAGGATTTCTCATCAACTTTCAATAAAAAGCTCTAAGCAAAAAAAAATTATATGTGAATTTGAAATCTATGTATCTATCCACAGACTAAACAATCATCTTAAGGCTTATTTCTTTTAAGATGAGATATTCAAAGTAGATGAGTATGATTAAATTTATTTTAATTTTTAACATGTATCATTTATTATTATCTCTTTATTTGCAATTATTTAACCAAATAGGTATATATTAAATCACCACAATTAATGATATTTCTTCAGTAACATTAAACATTGAAAGCATTTTTACCAGTAGAGAAAAGGGCTGATACTTCTTCCTGGAATGAAATGTAATCTTATACACAGTTCCATTTCTTCATTTAAGATTCTTTTTATGTATTTTATCTATATAATTAAGTGTAGAATACGAAAAGTAGTAATTTAAATTTTTATTGTGTATCTGCAAGAAGTATTTCTAAATTAGAGAATTACTTTTGAGTGTAGAAACTGTAAATTGGTAAGGAGTCAAAATAGGGCAATTAGAGCTGAGTAATAGGAGGTATTTGTTTATTTTATTTGAAGAGATATGAACCATAAGGAAATTCATATTGATTTTTAGTGACCTCTAGATAAGCTGTTAATTTAATGTTACCTTGATATTGTGGGTTCAATTAAAGAGCCAGTTCTCATTTTCAATTGGTCAAGTTCAGATCTCAGCTTTTCAATTTCTTCTGCTAATCTTTCCTAAAAATCAAAGAAGTGTTACTCAAATGATATGCAAATGCCAATAATACCAATACTCAATTATGATAAACCAAACTACAAGTTTAGTGGGTTTTTAAAAATTAAAAACTGATGGCAATAATTCTTTTAAAGATTATTAGACATGAAAGTAAAACATGCCTGATTTTTCCCTTTGTAATGAAAATGCGAACAGCAGAAATCAATAAAAATTCATCTATATTTCCTGGCAATCACTAATCCCATATTTTCATGAACTTACGGGAATACTGAGGTCATGACTACCTATGAATACATCACTTCAAAGTAGAAATCATGGCCAGTTAAAAAAATAAAAGTCTAATTTAGTAGGTGAAGAATTTCTATTATTCTAAAAGGGTTGAAGAACACATGAGTGAAGGAGAAAGAAGATAGAATTAAAAGGGTAAGGATAAAAAAACATCGCCTCATATGAATTAAAATTATTAATTTGATATTGGCATAATTATTTGTGTAGCTGGCCATTTTCTCAGATTGGCATTTTTAGTTTCAGTCTATAACTTTATGGAAATAAGGGTTGTCTTGTAGCCCTAAAATGCTCATGTAAGCACTTAATTTTGTTTTCATGATTACAATTTTTATAATGTTATAAATGTTTAAATGTGTCCTGGATTTTTTATTGTTGTTTTTTTTTTTTTTTCTTCTCCAAATGGCCTATGCTTGACATTTTACTTGACTCAAACTTATTTTCTTACCACATCTCTTTTTGTCAATGTGGCCTCGGTAATTTTTTTTTTTAATCTGGCCTTTTTTATTCTTACTACTATCATCCTATTCTATGTACTTTTTACCTCCTTTCTGAATTATTTTACTAGCTTCCACAGAAGTGGTGCTCCTTTCGGTTTTTCCCCACTTGGTCTTCCACTAGATGTATCATTTTAAAAAACATGTATGATCAAATAAATCCTTTGCTTAAAAATATTCGATAGTTTCTTATTGTATTTATTAATTCATTCATTGGTTATTTACACAAATATACATTAGGTACCTCTTGTGTGCTAGGCACCTAAGATACAGTAA